TAAAAGATGGATGTATACTGAAATGGAATATATAATTTTATTTCTTCAGTAGTAAAAGATAAGAAATAACCTTTCTGGAAACATGTTTAATGGGGAGTAGACCAGCTAAGATTGCTCTATACGAATACAGTAAGAAGTTTATCATGAGAGATAATATTAAGGTTCATATTGTCAAATCAAACTTCCAGTTTGCTGCTATCTAGCCTTACTAGATTGTGTTTTGTTGTGACTAGTAAGGCTTTCGTTTTTTCTGGATTTAAGATCGTATTATTTTTCTTCCACCATATTTTAAGTCTGTTCATAGCATCTTGTAAATTATTTTTAAGTACAGTTTTAGTTTTATCCGACTTAGTGTAGTATTTTCAGCATAGAGGTGAGTGGAACAAATTGAATTTCATATCTTAAGAGTTAAATCTTTGAGAAATAAGATGAATAACAGAGGTCTAAGTAGAAAACTCTATGGAACTCCAAATTTAAATTTTTACTTGCAGAAAGTTTACCAGTACAAATACTTTTGCACTCAATCGGTTAGCTAAGATGTAAATCTGTTTAGGGAGTTTTGATTGCAATGATATGATAAATTTTAAGCTTTTCAAGCAAAATATCATGGTCTGCAAGATCAAACGCTTTTAACAGTGCCGACCGTTTTTCCTTTATCTAATGTTTTCAGACATATAACAGTCATAAATATAAATGCAGTTTCACACTTGTGACTCTGTCCAGTGCCAGAATTATTGTCATAAATAGGAGCAAAAGTTAGCAAAAGGTTGAGAAAAGAATCATGAGCATGTTTTCTAGTGGAAGGAGATAGGTCTCTAATTAATAACCTTATAATTTGTAAAACTTTTGACAGTGGTGTTACCTTGGCAGATTTCAATGTCTGTGAAAATTTATTATTCCTAATACATTCATTGCAAATGAAAGCTATACTCTATAATATAGAAGTCACGGCTGCTTTGGTCCAATCATATCAAGTCCGGTCGCTTTAAAATCAACATTTTTAAAATATATTTCAACTCAGATTTAGAGCTCATTTAATGAATTTCAAACTTTATAAAGTGAGGGAGTTTTAGCATAAAAATGTTTGAATTCCAGATGATTAGATGAAGTTTTGAGTTAGTTAAATTTCTGAGCAATTTGAACAAAAAGTCATTAAAATATTTGAGATGTCGGTTTGATATTATTATCATTCCCCTCATGATTGTGGGTTAAATTTCCCTGCAGCAAACTCTATAAATCCTCTCCAGTTATCTTTTGGATTATTTCTACTTTTATCCAATATCTATTTGTAGTGTGATTGTTTCGCTTGCCGTAACATTTTTGTTTCACTTTATTCCTCCTAATTCTATTTGCAGCTTAATTTCCTATATATTTTATGGTTTCTTTACTTTATTGTATATAGAATTTCTCGGGAGAATCAAGCTGGTGGTAGTCTTTCTTTAATCCTGTGTATTCTAAAGGGGCATGATTGTTGGATCATTTTATGAAAATATCCATTCAAATACCTAAAACAGCATCAAAAAGTTCAAAGATATGGACTGTGTTCCCTGTAATCTGTTTAATCAGATCCTCCAGGAATAATAGTATCAAAGTTTGAAAATATCAACAAGCAATGGGTTTATGGATATTATTTTTTATATTCCCAATTGACTTTACGTGTAATTAAGAAATGGTTATTTAAACCAACTTAAGAAACATTATTTACTGATAATTTTGTTTTTCATTGGTACAAACATGGTCTATAAGTGTTTTGGTAGTTGCTGCTCTGATGGGTTGATTTATCTGTTGTTCTATACCAGACTATGCAATACAGTCGATCACGGTTTGTTTTGTTGTTTGTTTTTTATCATTGATAGGTCTCTGTTTATATCACCTAGAATGTGAAATGACTTTTTTTTATTTAAAGTTTGATCTTTTAAAGTTCAAAGTATTAAAACCAGTCAGTATGTCATAGTGGAGTTTGTACACAAAACCAACTAAGTAGGGCTTGGACTTAATGGAGTTATCTGTAGCCAAATAGGTTCTATCTCCGGTATTTCTAGTCCTTCCCTTCATGTAGTAACAGTACCAATTTTAACTAACACAAGGTGCCTACGTCTTTGTGCTTTTCTATCCCTGCAACAAGAACTGACTTCCTCATTGATATACAAAAAAGTTCACATGATTTTCTGTGAACATAGTTCTTAGAGTCTATCAATATACCTCTCTGACTTTCTGTTCATCTGTCTTGTCAATTATTATTATTATTATTATTATTATTATTATTATTATTATTATTATTATTATTATTATTATTATTATTATTATTATTATTATTATTATTGTTGTTGTTGTCAGGGATATAGAGTATGATTTGACTGGCAATTATTGCCGAAACCCTAATTCTGGGCTGGGACCATGGTGTTACACTACCCTTGAGACTTGTGAACGAAGTTACTGTGACGCCTGTCAACTCCGTGAGATATTTGCCTGTTTTCTTCAATATTGATAATGATGAGCATAAGTGTGTGTGTGTGTGTGTGTGTGTGTGTGTGTGTGTGTGTGTGTGTAAATCTATGATATGACTATATCATGTTTGAGAATATAGAAATATGACAGTTCTGTGTGTGTCCAAATTCTCTTCAACAAAATTAACAGTATCTATTTTCTGTTCAAATAACCATTTTCTTGATAATTTAAATTTCATGAGCTTAAATTTATAAAACTGAAGTGTTTGCATAAACATACAAACTTTTATGACATTCCTTTGCCACTACCAATTATAATCAGTTCTGTATTCGAAATTATCCGAAACAATCGTCCAGGTCCTGAAAACAGGAAGGTGCGGGAAAGTTGTAAATATTGAACTAATATTCAGCAAATACTCTCATTGTGATTGTATCATTCGATGCATATTAGTACACATGTTCAATAGTTTGTTCATCGTTCCTAGAATATAAATGACTATTTTTAAAAACTTTTCAGTGAACTGTTACGACGTATTTGATGACTGCAATATTTTGATCCATAATGACAATAAGTTCTGTCAATCAAACGAAGAAGCTTTGAGAGGATGTCGAAAAACATGCGGTTTTTGTCAGTCTGTTCCCAAAAGTGGCTCAGGTAACCTGTGTTCTTTTGCATATGTATGCTTCAGTTAGGGCTGTGGCTTACATCTTAATATTAGATTAAAGCTCTGTAACAAGATGATCCGTGTTGGGGTAAGATTACAATGAAGACACCAAGAATGATATTACGATGTGTATTTATAGATAATTAAAAACGGAAAAAATCATACCTGAAACTCGTGCGCATAAATTCTAAGAATGCATTTTTAACACAATGATGGGCAGCACTAATTTATATAACTAAATGATAACTGAAATAATATAACGAAATATGTTACGTTTCCTAACTGAAACGAATTGTCAGATTTAATATAAAAGAACAGTCAAAAATAATAAATGAAATGAAATTAAACAAAACATTAACCACTAAAAAAAAACAATAATTCAATCAAATAATAATGAGTAAATTTCAAAACAATGATATGGTTTCACTCAGTGATAACTGATTTCAAACAAGCAGTGACTATTTCACTCAAAAAGTGATAACTGCTTCCATATAAATAATGACAATGTTTACACTCAGTGAATAATGATTTAATAAAAATTTAGGAGTATACCGTGCGGCATCCAATTTATAACCAGAAGATATTTCCATCCGCACCGTTCTGCTGGATGGTCAAGGAGCCACCACAAATTGTCCTCCCTTCACGGTCTGCGTAAGGATCCACAGAACCTCTTGTTCCCTACAGATCCGTTGCTCCCTCACCACGCGATCACAGCTGTGTTTCTCAGGGCCAGCGTAACGACCGACAGCAGTATAATGGGTATACACCAACCCAAATTAGCATCACGCCTAAAAACAACACCGTCAATAAGGTGCAGACACAAAGATACAGCGTAGCTCAGTCACTATCGCTCTAACCCTCCATTACTCCTTCAGCACTTCACCCCTTGTTAGCCCTTTACCTCCTTTCAGTTCTGCAGCAGGAGATATTTATCCGTAAAGTGGACCGCTTACTGACAAGATTTTCCATAATGTGAAATTCGAATGTACATTATTCATATATGTACGCTCAGGACCGACAAGAAAGGAAGAGGACAACTGGGGTAACACCCCGAGTTTCGGATCCGTAATGAGGCGCGGGCCGAACAACACTTTTAACTTTATAAAAGAAATATTCTGTTTGAACAAGAACTAAGAGAGGCCAGGGTATTTCTTATCCCGTGGCCAGTGATCGCTCTATACCGCCCTACATACACTATATTTGAATGCACGGCCATTTGAGCTCAAGAAAAGAATAGGTTTTCTCATCTTAAGCCCTTTACTCATGCAGCATGCAGCAAACCGAACTCACTACATGGAAATAATGTATCTATTTACTAGTGCAATTTATTTAACCACTTCTCATAACATGGAAAAGTGTATATTTTATAGCAAAAAACTTATGTCTATAGCTTAAACTATTATCAAAAACGATCTGTCCATTTTAATGAGATGGATACCAATTGTCTGAATCGCTTGAGTAAGTCACCCTGTTTAAGTAAATGTGATTTGACTCCTTTATGCCGCCTTTAGGAGTAAAGTTAACGATTTGCCATAACAGGATACGACAACGCCTATTCACTAACAGTACTTTCCGTAAAGGTAAAGATTTTCTTTTGAAAATTCTATCACATTATTAAATAAATATACCCCGTTGACGACATATATATAAGACTGGTAAGTGCCATTTGCATTTCAAATAACAATTTTTCAGTCATATCGATACGATGTCTGCAGTGTGACAGTTTATAGGCATATCTAGCACTGTGGCATCATGCCGCAGACAGGTGGAAAGATATCCCACACAGCCACATTATCCTGACACAAGGCCATCCAGTCCTAAGACTATAACCTCTTAATGTTGAGCGCCAAGCGAGGCAGCTGTTAGTACCATTTTTAAGTCTCTGGTATGACTCGGCTGGAAATCAAACCCACAATCTTCCGCATCCAAAGTGGATGCTCTAACCACTAGGCCACCGGAGCGGTTAACCAAATCGACTTAAGTTGCAAACTATGCTTTAATTATATAACCGCTAATGTTTGAATGCTCTACCTGGTTTTATTTGGTGGGATTTTTCTTCGTCGTTCTTTTTTTCTTTCTTCCTTTTCTTCTTTTTTCTTTGCTTTGGTTTGCTTGTTTGTTTGGGTTTTTTTTGCACAGACTGTCCATATTAAAGACTAACAGACTAACAATCTGTTTATTAGCATACGAGGGCTAAATGAATATCATATCAGTATAATTACGATGTATAATATTTGCCGAGCTCATTTTTATTTCACGATTCTTAAGGTTGTAGTGCTCAATTCGACGCAAACTCAAAATAATGTTGTGAAATTGCGTACTTATGGCAGAATAATGCAGAACAAAGTACGAATAGGATGGTGCAGGATGCTGAATTAAAATAAACTAATACCTATTTTCTGTATGGTTTAAACTGGTCCACTAGCTGAGGAACAATGGTATTTTACATATGAGCAAAGAATATAAGAAAAATAAGGTAAGATAGGTCTCTTAAATTAATTGTTTTCGATAGAGTTACACGAAAGATAGTTTGGGCTAATTCATAGTTCTTTTTTAAGTTTCTAGTTCAACATGCGACGTACCAGCGGTTCCAGCGGACGGTGTACCTACTACCAAACTGAAGACCTCATATTATGTCGGAGATAAGGTCGTGTTCCGATGTAAATTTGGGGGAAATGACATCCAGGCCATTACGTGCACTTCGGATAGGAGCTGGACTCGCCTAACTTACGTTTGCGGAAGTTAGTACTCTTAGATATTATCAGATGGAAAACTGTAAATTTAGTCGAATAACAGATAATGTCTAAACCTGATCAAAACGACGACACCTGCATTAAGATATTGTCTACCTTAAAACAATATCAAAGGTTCAGTAAATCAATATCGTAGCAGGCAACCTCTGTTTAGGAATCCAATTGTTTCCGGAGGCCACATTAATCACTTCCAGCAGATTTCTGTTTGGGAATTATTTTTCTGTGTGTTTGGTTTGCAACCGAGTTATGCCAGAAATAAAAGATAAGAAATTGTTTTTGTGGTAAACATTGCTCATTGAATAGCAACAATATAAGATGTTATAAAAAGATGATATCAGTAGAAGCATATTTTTTTAATATTTTTGGAACCTACGACAAAATCTGGCGAATCAAATTGTCAGAGAAAAAGGTACTGAATTATACATTTTACAAGTCAACTACTGTACTATACAAAAAGGGTTTAACTTAACAGTATACAATATTGTTCTTTATTGTGTTGTACAATCCTTTCGTGACCGCAAGCATTTGTCTGACAGTAACCTGCTTCATTTTCATTTTCTAAGTTTTGAAAGTTTTTTTTTCCTGTCCCCAGAAAGAATTTGTTGTTCACAGAATGCAATGATATGTACAACACATAACTAAATTCCACCAAACACCTTTATTCAGACGAGAAATGATTGTCAGGGAACAATCTTTTTTTACCTCGTTGTGTACCTTGCTTATAGATAATCCATCAGACTGTAATTTTTCCTCTTTGTACATTTTTTTTTGTTGAACAGCTTGTCCCTCAGGCTGGAGTGGCCATGCTAGTTACTGTTACCAGTTTGTCGATGAATCTGTGGCAAAATCAACAGCAGATAAAAAATGCGGTCAGTTACATCTGGGCTCTCGCCTGACTACGTGTTCAAGTAGTGATGAGGCTGGCTTTCTATCCAAAATTGTGTAAGACAATTTTCTTCAAATTGCTTCGAATTTCGGACTACTTTATCAATCAAAGATATTATTTATTGAATTTAATTAAAACAAATGTGAATGTGTCCTGATAGTAAATTGTGTAAATATACTTGACAAAAAGGTCCGTTTTATTTCGAAAACTATGATCATTTACGGAGTCTTCCAGAATCATGTTCGGATTAAGCATGAATAGTTATATTGATTGTTGAAACTTCATAGCAACTGGTGTTTAAAAATATTAACCAGGCAGTGTTATAATCCATTTTCAGCATACAAACTTGCAGTCAGTATCGTAATCACTTTGTTGTTGATTCTTGAGCATGTATATTTAAACGCTTTGTTTTACTGATGGTTATTTGCCATCAGGATTTATATGCTTTCTTCGATTTGATAAAGCAACACTGTTTTTGTTTTATGCATGGTCCAAAATTTGAAATTATATCGAACAAATGCACCAACGAGTGCGAGTGTTGAAGAGAAGAGAAATGGCTTTTTGTTTTGGGGGTTTTTTCGGGGATGGGGTGGGTGGTTGATAATCTAAATGAGAGCAGAAATTATCCTTGGATATTTTAAATGTAAATTAAACTACTTTATAGAAGTCAAATAAGTACAGTCTACAGATCCCTAATGAGCATCTGAAGGCCGATTGAAAGCAAAGGATCCAGCCAAGGAAGCTTTAGAGAATATTTTTTTATATAGAACTTGCTTCGAAGCAAAGTTCTAGTATAGTTATCAAGACATAATAATAATAATAATAATAATAATAATAATAATAATAATAATAATAATAATAATAATAATAATAATAATAATAATAATAATAATAATAAATTCTTTTTTTCAATATTGCATAAATCAATTGAAATTTTGTATGTGTTTCTCAGTGGCGATAACCAAATGACATGGCTTGGAGGAAGTGATCTTCAGCATCATGGCCAGCTTAAATGGGATGACGGCACGGTTAACAACTTCTCTAATTGGCAAGGTACGAAAGTATGGCAATATATTGTCTGTCTTCGTACATTTCTCATTAGTCTAAAATGAAGAGAATTGAAGGCTCTGATATTTTCCTGTTCGAGAGACATTGGCAATTGCATGTGTAATTATGGGGCTTTGATAACGGACAGCTATTCCTTTCACAAATGAGTAACCAACTAAAAAGCATTCTTGTGTCGTATCACATTCTCACGAGACTCATTCAACATCTTAAAAGGGTAAAATGCAAGAGTCATGTATATTTAATTTTATTAAGATATCAATTTTGAAAAGAAATAATAACATCTAAGTTGTGTTAGACTATGAGAAACTACTATTAAGAGGAAAGAAGTCTGCTCATATGTACTGAATTAACCTGTCCGTAACATTCTTGTATATTGCCCGCAGTGACAGGTTTGGTAGATAGGATCAAAAGAAGGCCCCAGCCCAAAAGTTCATAGCGCGAATGGAACAATAAACGATTTACATGTAAAGCTCGCGTTCTTTATAAACTGTCACAAATTGATTCGGCAAATTTATAACTGTCTGGTTTAAAAGTTCATGGTAGATAAATGGCCTCACTTGCAACAAATGTAAGCAACATACGACTTAAAAGGTCATTCGCTTAAGAGACAAACCCTTATAGATCTCTTTGCTTTTGGACTAGGGACAAGGGCGTCCTTGAATTTTACACAAGGACAGACGTGACTTTAAACAAGGTCGTGCGTGATATATATATAACTTAAAGTATAAAAAATGCAAAACCCCCTTGTGAATGTTAACTGTGAAGTCCAAACCCAAGAGAGATAGTCTGTTTGTATTTTACAGTGATCTTCGCTACCTCTCGTTGCCAAAGCTTTTCCCACAAAAAGATGTAGCCGTATCTACACCATCATAAGTGACACCTTATCTTTAAGAGGGCCGAACATCTCTCCCTCTCCCTCTCTGTTCACGACATTATAAGATGACACACCATTACAAGATGAAACTCTATCTTTAAGAGGGCTGAGATATATCTTTAAGAGCGCCGAAACCCACATAATTTTCTACCATAATAATTTGCATGATTTGTTAAGTTCCTTTAATTCATCATATACTGTAAATAACTGTCTTTTGGAATTGACCTTGTCTAAAATCAAGTTAATTTTCAACCTGACCTGAATAATTAATTTTGGGTTTGTAAACAACATGTTTATCTCAATCTGAGCCTATAACATTGAGTGATCCACATAAAATTGTACTTATATCTGCTGTTTAATACATTTTATATGATACTTTTAGTAACAGACATTCTAATTGTAACTAAGCTTTTATCTTGTAAACATTTGAAACCTTCCAGAATGAAATTTTCCATTATGTAATAGTGTTTTTAGAAAATGTTAATTGTGACCCGAGGTCAAGTAGAGGACAATATAATCTTGTTTATGTAGAAAATAGAAATTTCTGCTGTAACATCTGAGCAGAATCAACGGTGCTGTTATTATGACCGGTATTTCAGTTGGGTTGGAATTTATTATTCAAATTATTTGATTTTAGTTATTCCCTGGAAATACAAAGTGATCAAATTATTATTCCTGAAAATAGAGAATTGGATTTATAGTGAAATTCAAGTAAGGATATAATCTTGAATTATATTATTGTGATTTAACAAATTAGTATTGGGACATCACTACGACACATGACATTAAACACACACATCAACACTCAACGTTGGAATTATTTTGGAATACCAATAAAATTTTATAATCATTATGACTAGTGCTGGAAATTATGAAATTATATGATTATCAGGAATTTAATTCGCAATACCCTAAGTTTTTTTTACATTTATCTTAGTATTCTCGGGAGATAAATTATTTGTTTAATTTTTATTATTTTTTTTTCATAAAACAAAACTGCTGGTTTTCGCTTTTTTCTGCTACTTAGTTTAAAACCATCGAGTCGTAATACAATATACACTGATTGCAGTCTCAGCAAAACCTTTTAAGTGAGTCATGTTGAACACTATTATGAAGAAAAGCGTGTCAAATCTGCAGTTCAGATTCATTTGACGTGTGATAAAATTCCGAGAATTGCTTTAAAAGCATCTAGAAGTAATATAATATCTAGAACAGTAATGTCGTGTTACGGTTTTACTTTTTGTCCACCTCCCAGTTTAACAATGGACTGTGCAGGATACTTTGATATCGATTAATATTGCAGAAGCAGATGACAATCGATTAGGAAGTGCTGCATCCCGTTGGTTTGTCATTTTTCAATCGCCCTATCTCTCGGTTTAG